ACTGAGCAATCTCTCCACCCCATAGCATTTTTTTTATACTTTACTTATAATGTAAAGAAATTATTTTTAATAGCCATTTTCAAATGAAAAGGTGAATTCAATGCTGAAATAATACAGTTTTTGCTACTTTCACTGGCTCATGTAATCAATAACATTAAGCAAAGTAGCCACTGCATTCAGTCAAGAATCTAAAGCAATACTTTTAAGACCAGTAGCCAGCATGCTTACTAAAACGTGTTAGAAAATATGTACATATATACGTCTATATTTGTCTATTTATTTAATGCAGGGTTTCCTGTGCTCTGGAACTTGTTATATGTATGCAGCCCATGCTGGCCTCAAATTTATGATTCTGATGCTTCTATCTACCAAGTACTGGGATTAAAACCATACCCAGCTCATAAAAGAAATATCTTTTTAAATATAATTCTTTGGCTAGTCAAATAAAATTGTTAAAATTTAATTGTCTCTCAGTATGTCTGGAGTAGAACAAATTGAAATAGTGTCATTATTTGCTTGTCAATGTTGAATGCCATGTACATTAGCACACTAAGGACACTGTGAATGAGTCATTTAACTGCTTATTACAGGTACATAGAAAACCTGTTTATTTGACATATTTATTTTAAGCACTCACATTACTTAACACTCTAATTTATCCACACTAATTTCTTAATTGAGTAGCTATAAAAAATTATAATTTTGCCTTTTCCTGTCATCAATATATCCTATTTATTTTTCTTACTTCATTGCAAAGACTAAGCACTATTTGAATGATACAAAAGAGAATAATGATAACAATATTCTAGCTTTTACTGTATCATTTATTTTGATATATTTAATGGTTTTAATAGTTTATGTGCTGGGGTTACAGACATAAACTGCCATGCCTGGCTTTTGTCTGGGTGCTAAGGATCTGAACTCAAGTCTTCATGCTTACACAGCAAGCACTTTATCAAATGAGTCAACTCCTTAGACCCTCATTTTTTTTTTGACATTAAAAATATTCTGCAATACCGGGCATGGTAGCACACGCCTTTAATCCCAGCACTCAGGAGGCAAAGTTCAAGGCCAGCCTGGTCTACATAGTGAGTTCCAGGACAGCTGGGGCTATAAGGAGACCCTGTCTCAAAAAGACCGAAAAAAAAAAAATACTCTGCAAAAGGCCAGGCATGGTAGCACATGCCTGTAACCTGACATTCTCAAGGTAGAAGCAGAAAAATTAGAAGTTCTTGGTCATCCTCAGTTAAATAATGTGAGGCCAGCCTGAGATCCATGAGATTCTGTTTCAAAGACAAAAATAACTCTGCAAGATTCAATGTGTCAATATTTTATAAAAGATTTTTGCATCTGCAACTATATTCATATAAGCTAATATTTACTAAAAACTTCTAAAATGTCATTCAGAATTTTAAGCATTCTAAGATCTATTAAGCCATGACAATACTATAATGTAGGCAGTTGATTTACATGAAGAAACTGAAGTACAGCTAACAATCTCATTAAGTGCTAGTTTGTATGAAGTCTGGATATCAAAGTTAACGGCCTTTTCAGATAATGGAATGTTAAACTACCAATTCAATTACTCTCTGGAAGATATTATACAGCACTGAAACTCCACTAGTCTGAATGACCACACTATCTTAATTTAAAACACAAATTTATTTAATTAACATTAAATTTTAGACCTATTTTCTTTTCTCTGTTTTTGCTCTTACATTTTTGCTGAGATTCTGATAAGAATTTATGAACTTTGGATAGGACCTAACTATTTTACCTAGTAACCTACAGATGAAAATTAATAGTCAGGGGGCAGAAGCTGACCATGCCAGAAAAGCTAGGTAGATGAGCTAGGGTGAAGAGGACTATGACTCATGTGCTATCAGTTGATCTAAAGACAGTTCAGCCACCCAGACAACCAATCAAACAATCTTGTCTAGGTTTTGGAGCAGCAATAAAATGTCTGAACACTAGGACACAAACTGATATCATTCCCCGTTCCCATCTCCCTCTCCCCTTCCCCTCCACACTGCTTTCTGGCAACCATGATGTGGGCTGCTCTGCTCTACCACATTGACCCTGCCTTGGCCCAGACCCCAACCACAGCTCTTTGAGAAATTATTAATTAGAAGGCTCCATCTAAATTGCACCATAATTCCTGATTCACTTAAACAGTGAGATGACTTTTTGAGTACAGTCCAAACATTGTATCATCTAGTTATGAACTTTGTGTTATGGAGTATTTGCTTTCTTGGATCTAGAACTTTGATAGGGAAAAGAGAATGATTTTTATAAAAAAATTCCAACAACAGGTACTGAGGAAATAGCTCAGTGATCAGACCCCTTGCACACATGTAAAGCCAGGTGGGCACTGGGCCCACCTATTATCTCAGCACTCATGCCAGGAGGTGGAGACAAGAGATCCCTAGGTAATCAGGCTAAAACAGCTGAACTAGCACATTACAGGTTAGCAAGAGACTCCGCCTCAATAAATAAAGAGCGATCAATAAGTACACCTGATATCAATCTCTGGCCTCCACATACACATACATACATGTGTCCTATGCACCTGCACACACATGTCTACTCATGCAAACATGCATACACACATGCGAACACATCACACATATGCAAGATAAAAGAATACAACAACAGTTTTAACACTGAAGGACAAACTTGGAGGTTTATAGTTAAAATTAAAATAGCAGGAAGATCAATTTTATGTCTTACAGGGTTTACACTGAGTTCAATATTGTATAACTGTATTAATTCAACTGTGAACCTAAAAATTTACAGCCACTTTTGAAAGAAATGTATCCTTGCTCTGGAGTGTGTTACTAAATATGTTAAAGCTGTAGTGAAATGTTTCTTCTATGCATATGGGTATTAAAAAATTAAAAAAAAAAAAATTTCATGCCGGGCTTGGTGGTGCACACCTTTAATCCCAGCACTGGGGAGGCAGAGGCAGGTGGATCTCTGTGAGTTCAAGGCCAGCCTGGTGTACATAGTGAGTTCAGGTCAGCTGGAGCTACAGGGAGACCCTGCCTCAAAAAGACCAAAAAAAAAATTAAAAAAATAATTCTTCAATGCATAAAAATTTGCTCCTTAATAATTAGTAGATGTGAAAAACATTACCATTGAAATCTACCTGTGACTTTATATCCATGCTCAGATGCCAAGGATCTCAGAAAGTAACCGACTTTGATAATAATAATAAGTAGAAACGCATGTGCAAACATCTTAGTGTTAATTGCTTTAAAGATGAATTTTTCTGTATGAAACTGTGTATTTTAATAATGAAATGTAGATCTTTTTTAAGGTTAAAACCTCATTGAATTTTATGTCTTATAAGGTTTATACTGAGTACAATATTGTATAACTGTATCAATTCAACTGTAAACCTAAAAATTTACAGCCAATTTTGAAAGAGATGCATCTTAGCTCTGGAAATCGTTATTGAATATATCAATGCTGTTGTAATGAAATGCTTCTTCTAATTATGTGGTCATTAAATAAATAATTTTAAAAAAGATGTGAGAAAATCCAAATAGCCAACTTGACAGTTTAAGACCCACTTTCATGAAAATACTGTTTCTTATAACTAATGCAATCTATCAATGCAAGAGGCCCTGTTGCAGATCCACCAGTAAACAAGTTTCTCTATGTCTACATTATACCATAACCTCTCAAAAAAGGCCCAGGCTTAAAACTGAGTGGCTCAATTGTAAAATGCTCATTTCATAGTTTTCATTCCTCTCCCATAATCTCTAGAATGTTCAAGATACACGTAGACCTTGTAGGTTCTTTTCATTTTATTTGATATCTATATAACATCATAGAATGTTTTAAAATACATGAATAAAATAAAGTGAACTCTTAATGCTAATATATAATTTTAGAACAATTCTGTAAATAGGTTAGCTTTGATGATTAAGTCATTTCTATTGGTGTTGAAAAAATACTAGATAAGCCACATGTTTTTATCAAAATATTTCCTTTGATAAAAGTTGAATAAGCATTCATGTATAAAAGAAGTTAAATATGATGTTGTCTGCATAAGATGAAAGAAGCTTGAAATGTTTAAATTACTGACAGAAAGATTCTAAAATATTAATGTAGAAGAAAAGTTAAACTTGGGGACTAGACAGATGGCTCTGTGGTTAAGAGTACTGGCTGTTCTTGTGGAGGACCCAGGTTCGATTTCTAGCACCCACATGGTGGCTAACAACTGTCCATAACTCCAGTTCCAGGGAATCTGACACCCTCTTCTGACTTCCACAGGCACTGCATGACACTGGTGCACTTACATACATGCAGGCAATATACTCATACACATAACATGTAAACAATAAATAAAATGTTTTTTTTAAAAAAGAAAGAAAAGCTAAACTCCAAATCATCAACCTCAGGTTCAATATAGACTTTTACAACAATAAGAGTTCAAGCTAATTAAATTTAAGAAGCTCTACGGGATTAGTTTCTGTGCAATATAAAAATAATAATTAAGAAACTATGGTATCTTAAAAATAATTCATATATTTTATAGAATGGTATAAATAAAGCACTATAAAGCTGATAAAATGTAAACCACATTGTAGAGAAGATGAGAAAAGAACAGAAAGAGCAGTTTTCTTATAAAGCTGGAGGGAGATCTGAGGAGAGAAAAGAAAAAGAATGATTTTTATGAAGTTTGTGAAATACAAAATAAGCTCCAAATTGGTAATGTTTATAAAGACAGCTGGAGAGATGGCTCAGCAGTTTAGAGCACTGGTTGCTCTTGCAGAGCACCTGGGTTAGATTCCCAGCACCCACATGGTGGCTAACAATCTCCAATAACTACAGTTCCAGGGGATCCAACATCCTCTTCTGACCTCCATGGGCACTGCCCAACACAGGTGCACTTACATACATGCAGGCAATACATTCCTACACATAAAATAAAAACAAAATATGTTTTAAAAAGAAGATAGTTAGCTGTCTTATAAATTTAAAACATTTACCTCATTTTCTGTTCCCACATCCAAAATGATAGGCAAACAGTATTGTGGATTCATCCCTCCACATGCTGTGTACAGGGCTAGTTTACCCACAGGGATGCCCATCCCATTACAGCCAAGGTCTCCCAAGCCAAGAATACGCTCTCCATCAGTTACCACAATAGCCTTGAAGAAAAAAGAGAATCTATTAATGAATGCCTGCAAATCCTGTGGCATAATTTCTGGTCTCTAGTCTTAAGGTTAATGCTCTGTAATGAAATATTAAACTATAAGAAAACACAAATTGAGTATATAGAGTTGAAGATTTTATGATAGTCATTGGGGAAGAATAGGGAGATGAAATAAATTTGAGATACATTTTAAACATTATATAAACTTATACATATGATTAATTAGATTACTATAAAAAGTATGCAATAAAATTAAAATAACCCAAATAATTTACTCTTCAATCAAGAGAGGTAAATGGGAAAAGTACAGAGAAATAAGAGCTAAAACTGGAAATAAGATGAAACTTAGGGCTTTTAAGACTAGTCAATTCCACTTTCAGTACAATTGCAGGCATGTTAAGAACTTCATAACTGCAGGCAGATTAGGGAATGCCCTGTTCTGAAATGCTCTGACCTCTGATTCCCAGAAGCACCTGAGGCTGTTCATTCTATTATTAGAACACGGCCTTCACAGTCTACTGTACATATTACCTGATGAACTCCACTGGAGCTGATGAATTTTGCTTGGTTTACTTCTAATTATCTCGAATAGTCATGAGTCATACATTTTAATCATGCAGAGTTTAGTATATATATTTTAATATCGTTGTTAGAATTAACACATGTAACATCTTTATTCTGTGATTCATGACCATTAATATAAGCTAAAGCAAACATAATTTATTAGTCTAAAGTGGTGCACTAAAAATATCCATGGAATATTAGTTGCTTGACCCCAAATAAACAATAAATTAAGGTTCTTTCTCATATTTATAAAAAGAAATTAGTGAATGTGCTTCCAAAGCAGAGGTCTAAACTTCAGGACCAGTTCTGTTTGCTCACTACTATATACCAGCATCTAGCACAGCTTTTAGTACTCGGAGAAATAAAATGAAATCATGATATATTAAAGAACTTAGCACAGTTCTTGTTATATTTCAAATTCTAAAAAATATGGCCACTCTTAACCACTCTCAGAACTAATATATAGAAATTCACAACATTTTGGAGCTGGAGAAATGTCTCAGTGTTTTTGCAGAAGATCTGGCTTCAAATCCCAGCACCCACAGAGCAGCTAACAACTGTCCGTGACTCCAGTTCCAGGGGATCCAACACCTTCTTATGATCTCCACGGGCACTGCACAACATGGGTGCACTTACCTACTACATGCAGGCAATACATGCATACACGAAATAAAATAATAAATATTTTTTCTCATTATAAAGGCTTTTAATTATCAACATGCTTAAATATACACTACCCCCAATTAAAATATAATTGTTTTAAAATATTTTTAAAAAAGAGACATTCACAACATTTTAAAGAGGTGATCTCCTCCCTCTTACTTTATAGACTAGGAAATTGAGGGTCAGAGAACTCAAATAATTTGCCAGAAGAGTATTATATACCATTTTCCTCAGTAGTAAAGACATTCCATCTTGGAGGGAAGCTCCTTAAGATGCATGATATTAAAAGGGAGGTAAACAACAGAATTCTCTAAGAGGAGGTGAAATATTCCCTCGTGCAGAGAAGATCTTTAGGCTCGGGAAGGAAACAACTCAATACCCTTAGGAAGACTCTGAAATTGACCAGATTCAATAGGTCTCTCCCTCTCCACATATATAAACCCTAAGGACTGTTGAAAGATACTCCAAAACCATCAGGCTGCCTAGAAGAAGCAAAGACCAACTGAGCTGACTGGAAGGGGTAGGAGCACTCCAGGATTCCTTCTTTTGTGGGCTGCCCCCATTCTGTGGTGGGCTTTTGGTGATGGAACTGTCTTTCTGAGTCATTTCTACTCCTGTAAGCAACCTCTCACCCATATTCCTGTAGGTAACCCCAATATAATTCACTGGTTCACCAAGCTGGATTTTGGTGGTATCTTTACTTTGATCTGTAATTGGTTCCCTAGCTGGGATGGGAAGACTTCTGTTCATATCTCCCCAGGAATAGGAGTCACCTAAGCAATATCAAAGAACCAAAACCTGGGAATGTTATCTCGGTATAGTGCTCCTTTCTACCATACGATACATATATAGCAAGATACATTTTAAACGCTTTTTTTTTTTTTTTTTTTTGGTCTTTTTGAAACGGGTCTCCCTGCAGTCCCAGCTGGGCCTGGAACTCACTATGTAGAGAAGGCTAGCCTCGAACTCATAGAGATCCGCCTGCCTCTGCCTCCGGAGTGCTGGGATTAAAAGTCTGCACCACCATGCCCAGCCTAAGATACATTTAAAACACACTATTGGACCAGCCCCCTAACCCCCTTTGGAAGCTGTTTTTTGTTTGTTTTTAAACTTTCGTTGTTGTTGAATTTTTGTGAATTGTTTTTAGTTTAAAGCCATTTTTCAACTCACAATGTTCTTGGGCCTCTTAGCAACATACTCCATTCCAAAGGCCAAAAAATGTCTAAAATATTTGGGAGCTTTTATCTAATCCTTAAAAGATTTTGGAGTTACCTCTTCAGAGGGGGTAATGTTAGAGTAGCCAAAAGGCCCTTTAAAACAATAAATCAAAGAAGAAAGAGTACATGAAGTTATCAGAAAAACGTGATGGGGAGATATGGGAAGAGTTGGAGGGGAGGGAGTGGGCATGGATTTGATCAAAACACCTTATATGCATGTATGTCCTTGAGCCTATTAACAACATACTCTATCCCAAAGGCCAAAAATATCAAAAGTATTTGGGAGCTTGTATCTAGTCCTTAAAAGATTTTAGGGTTACCTCTTCAGAGTTGAAGGGGAGGGAGTGGGCATGGATTTGATCAAAACACCTTATATGCATGTATGAAATTCTCAATAAATTATTTATTTTTTTAAAAAGCCATTTTTCAAAGTCCAAATAGTTCACACGTGTATTTAGTAGACAGCGCAGAGACACCTGCATGTATCACAGATAATGCACACTCCCATGAATGTATTTCTCATATTCACGGGGGGGAGGGAGGAGAATTAAACTAGTGTAGAACTAATGAATTATGACATCAATATAACTTTACTCTGTCTGGCAGATGAGTATTTGTATTTGACAAGACCCTTACGTACTCCTAATAATAAATGTGCTTGTTGATGTATGTGGAAGCAACAGAAATTTAGAAGCTTCTACTTGTGCTCAAACCATAAAGGCTCAGTCTCAAGCTGAAGACAAGGCAGACAACCATAAAAACCACAGTCTGTGAGCACTTTGGAAAATTCTGCCCCTTGCAGTGGTCTTTTAGGAAACACCTGCTGCAATATGCCTTATTTGTTAAAATAGCTAAGATTGCACTGGCATCAGCGTATTATTGGAAAGTGTCACAACTCTATACTTGCCTGAGATATCTGCTTCTTTATAAAATCCTGACTATTTAAATTTCCCATAATAACCTACCAGATACTATACTTCTGTGCTATTAGTCTCAAATCCACCAGTATGATTACTGCCAAGGGATGACATGAAAAATTCAATAAAAATGTGTATGTATAGACACATACAGTTTCTCTGGAGCAGGTTAGCCCAGTCTGAGGTCCATGTGTGATAAAGAATGATTTTCTCTGCATCCTGAGTGTAGTTTGAGTTTTCTCCACAGGTCAGGTCAGTCTCAGATTAATTCCTGTAACAATATAGGGAAAGCCCAACTATCCTGCCTATTCTTAGAAATAGTTTTATAATACATTCTACATGGAAAGCAATAATATCCTGTAAAATATTTGTGATTTGCATAATTTATTATGCTTTCCAGTGTGTCATTTTCATCAGTTTCAAATTTTTAAAAGGGTTTAAAATAGTATATACTGAAAAAAATAGTATATACTGTCATTGACTTGATAGTATATCTATGTTAAATGAAATGTCCTGAATATAAAGTTTTTTAAAGGCAGGTTTTTGTTTTAGTTAACTTTTACTCCCTATGATTCTCTCTCATCTAGCACTATTAATTATAATTACAATTATATATTGAGAAATTAATGTTTTGAGGCATTCATATTTCAGCTTAATTTATGCCTTACTGTAAATATTTTAATATTAAAGAGTTTTAACAGTGAAAAATTCTCATAAAGTATCTTCTTAATGAGCAAATATGGCACTAAATTACCATGCAGTGTAATTACATTTTGTCTAATAAACTGTCTTTGTTCCATGTGTACTTTCACCTACACAGTAGAGAACATATCTCACTTCTCAGTATTCTATTTCAGTCAAGAGCTGACTTACTAAGTGTCCTGTACCAGACACTATCTTAAGCCTTTAAAGTTACAGTGGACATTGAGGGCCCAATATTAAGGATTCAAAGATAAAGGTAGATTATTAGTGAAGTTAAATGTGTAGAGATCAGCTAGTTAGAAATCTTGGGAAACAGAGTGACTGCTTATAGCCTAGTTGTTAAGATGACAGGGTACTGGTTAATACTTTACTCTAGAACTATTTCCTGAATTGCCTTGTTGATTATTAAAATCCTCTCCAGACTCCAGGTTAAAATGCAACTATCAGGCTCAGCAAGTAAAAGTACTTGCCATACAAGTCTGATGACCTGAGTTCAAGTTCCCATAACCAAGGTTGTCCTCTGATTTCCATACACATACTGTGGCACAAAGCTGATCTCTCTCTCTCTCTCTCTCTCTCTCTCTCTCTCTCTCTCTCTTTCTCTCTCTCTTTCTCTCTCTCTCACACACACACAACCCAACACCATACACATATAAATCTCTGATATTACTTTCAATTTCTTTAACTCACAAAAGGAAGTCAAATGAGCTACTTAAGGTCATAACAATAAAAAGGATGATTTAACAGATTTCTTTTGCCTATTTTAAACTTCTTAATGGATGGTTAAACAGAGCAAATACAATAAAGAAGTTTACTTAAAGAAATTAAGATGCCCAGGATGCCCAGCATGTTCAAAATATATAATGACTTGTGAACAATAAAATATTAATAAATTAGACAAAATAGTAGGGAAACTATCTAAATAGTTTTAGAATAATATGAATATGCTATCCAAGGATATAAATTAGGTGCTAGTCACTGGAAATGCTGCACACAGTAACAAGACTTCTCAATATGATCTAAGCTGTTTTATGGGACAGAAAGAGGACTGCCTCAGTGCAGAAACCTTAGAAACTTACCTTGACAACATCTTCTGGCCATGCATTAAGAATTGAAGCAATATGCCCTCTGTCATGGATACTAATAAAGAGGCCTCTGGCAGGAAAAATAAATTAAAAGTAGTTTTAACTTACTTCAAATCTGTCAAACTACCATGAACACTAACAAAAACTTGAATGTATTAATATTTCATTTTCATTAGACTACTGAAGTTATTTGTTAAACAAATGATCCTTAGAAATCCTATTATAAAGGGGTTTGAGATACAGTTTGTAGAGTGCCTGCCTAGCACACATAAAACCTGGGGTTTAATCCCCAGTATCACATAAAACTGGGTGTGGTGACACTAGGGGGCCAAAGACAGATTGATCCCTGAAGCTCACTGGTCAGCCATCCAGCTGAATTGGTGAACTAAAGACTCAGAGACCCTTCTTAAAGGATTAGGTGGGAAGGATTAAGGAAGACACCAAACATTAATCTCTTTTCCCCACATGCATATGCATGCATATACATATACATACCTACATACATGCACACACCTACACAAACACAAATACCACATACATGTATACATTCATATACAAAAAATTCATTATTTTTATATAAAGACAACTTGAAAACTGTAAGTTCCATTCATAAATCCATTTAGCTTTAATTAAATAAGATGATATGTAAAGCATGGTGTGGTGGTTTGAATGAAAATGTTCCCCATAGGCTCCAAGTATTTGGACATGTTTTTCCAAGTTGGTAATGCTATTTTGGGAGGCTTTAGGAGGTGTGGCCTTTCTGGAGGAAGCATTTCACTGAGGGTGCACTTTGAGGGCTCTTAAGTCTTTCTGGATTTCTAGTGACTCTCTGCTTCCTGTGCCTGCTTGAAAATGTGAACACTCTGCTTTCTGTTCAGGCACTTCCTTCCACCATGTCTCACCCACCATTAGGGACTCTTACCCCTGGAACCATAATTTCAAATAAATTCTTCCTTGTATAAGTTGCCTTGGCCATGGTGTTTAATACAGCAACAGAAAAGTAACTAATGCACATGGCGAAAATGTTATGAAGCATTCCCAGCATAGATTCCTCTTAGCATATTTCTGCAGCATGAGGACAAGAACATGGATCTGAGACAGCTGAAGTGATTAAAGTGAACATGTATTTCCTGCACAGCTTCCCTGCCTGATTTGTGGCCCTTGTTCCTTTTTGCAACCCTGCTATTTCAACCTAACTAAGCGTTTAAAACTTTACCATATTTCCTATGAAAGCTTAACAAGCAGTTTTAAACATTAAAATACTAAAATTTTTAAAATGTACTTGTTTGGGGGCTGGAGAGATGACTCAGCCATTAAGAGCAGTGGTTGCTCTTGCAAAAGACCTGGGTTTGATTCCCAGCACCTACATGGGGCTAACAACTATCTATAACTCCAGTTCTAGGGAATTTGACACCTTCTTCTGACCTCCAAGGGCACTGCATGATATGCGTGCACCTATCTATATGCAGGCAATACACTCATACACATAAAAAATTTTTAAAGTAGTAACATTTTTCAAAAATCTTCATTTAAATGTTTTGCTTTAGAATTAAGTCTAAACAGAAAATGATAGGCAAGTATAATTTAATGGCTAAGGCAACCACCTTTCTTTTTTATATTTTATTTATTATTTTTATTTTATGTGCATGAGTGTATTGCCTGAATATGTGAGCATAGGAGTGCATAAGTGCACTGGGGTTGTACAATGCCTGCAGAGGTCAGAAGGGAGTATTGGATTCCCCTGGAATTAGAGTTGCAAATGATTGTTAGCCATCATTTGGATGCTGGGAATTGAACATGGTCCTTTGCAAAAGTAATCAGTGTTCTTAACTGCTGAGGATTCATCTCTCCAAACCCACAACCACCTCTCTATAGAACTTTGAATCAAACAGAGAATCTTGCAAACAAGGAACCACCTGTTGCCTTGCAGTAAAAAAATTCTTCCCTTCTAAGAGCAACCATCCTCCTGACTTTCCTGGTACCATTTCCTTTGGAATTAATTTGTAGAAGTGTGTGTGTGTGTGTGTGTGTGTGTGTGTGTGTGTGTGTGTGTGTTCAAATATGTGTACCTCACACATGTATATATATGCATATGGAGCCCAGAGGACAACCTTAGGTATCATTCCTTAGGCATCATCCACCTTTTTCTTGAGACAAGTTCTCTCATTTGCCTACAGCTTGTCAAATAGGTGAGGTTGGCTGGCCAGTGGCCCAGGGATCCAACTATGTCTGCCTCCTCAGTATTGAGATTACAAGTTCATGCCACCATGCCTGGCTTTTTGTGTGGGTGCTGGTGATCAAACTCAGGTCCACATGCTTACATAAGCACTTTACAAACTGAGCTGTCTCCCAAGTCCCTAACCAAAATTAAAAAATATATATATTAATTATTTTTATTTTATGTGTATGTGTAGTGCCTGCATGTGTGTAAGTGCACCCATGTTGTGCAATGTCTGCGGAGGTCAGAAGAAGGTGTCAGATCCCCTGGAACTGGAGCTACGTATGGTTGTTAACCACCATGTGGGTGTTGGGAATCGAACCTGGGTCCTCTGCAAGAGCAGTCAGTGCTCTTAACCGCTGAGCCATCTCTCCAGCCCCCTAACAAAAATTTTAAATCACAGAAAACATGTAAATCCAAATATGCACCATACTGACATGCTAAGTATATTAGATTATCTTACAATAATAAGTGCAATAAGAGGAGTTTTGATGACTGGCTAATAAAATATTAAGCTGACACTAAATTATAGCTTTTCCTCTTTTTTGATTGTCCCACATTAATTCACTGTTTATTCAAAATTATAAGAACCTGTTTATAATTTGTATACATTTTTATATCCCACCAAACTCAATTGACCTAATGCAATCTTAGCTGGAAGGATATCAATAAATATTTTAAAATTAAAATGAAATATTTACGACTAAGGGATGAATTTATGCTGAATTATATAATAGCGATATACCATTAAATAATATTTCTTAGGAGCCTGTAAGTTGTTCAAGGCTTTCAAATATACTATTATCGGGAAACAGACTCATTTTTAAATAAAGGACAATAAATGATACCAAAATTACCACCAATTAAATGTCAAGATTTATTATATACAGATCTGGTTCAGCTTCTGTGGAAGAGCCATCTGGCCACCCATAATCTTTTGCACTAAGTAGACTTTCATTCATAGCAAAATGCTTACTCTTGGAAAGAGCTCAATAAATCAAAGATCTGTACTGTCCCACCAAAGCCAAACATTTTAAGGGCTATTTTTAATACTTTCTGGAATGTCTCCACAATTAGAAATTTACTGAGATATCCAAAGATATTTTTGCACAGAAATAACTCATACTTTCTGGCAAACAACTTGTTATGAAACATTAATACTTCCTACACATACACATGCATACATAGTTATATAAGAAAATTTTTGACAAGAAATTTATTTATATCTACACTTTAAATGAATGGAATAACAATGAAAGACTTCTTCAGTATAGGGGATTGAACACAGGGCCTTGTGTATTCTAGGCAAACACTCTACCATTGAACCACATCCCAGCCTAAAAAAACTTAACTTGTTTAAAATATTTAATTTCTGTTCAAAGTATGTTAAACAGAGCAATTTAAAAATACTCATATTTTGTTGACTTGTTCAATTCAGAACTGGGAAAAATTTTAAATGCAGATAATTTTTTAAAACACATAGTTCAAACTTTTCTCATAACCTCTCAACATTGTATATCTTCCACCCTCAAAATGAATTTGGAAGACAAGATGATATTCTCCATAATTTGGTCTCAGATAATATCCCTAAGGAATTGCATATCAAAATACAATTCATTTCATAACATAGAACTTTCTGTTCTAACTAGACTTATATTTTCTTTTGGAAATGTGTTTCAATCCCTGTTCCTGGGCCAATGGAGGAGGCAACAACAATGAAATTTTCTGGAATTAAACTTTTTTGCATTATGAATCTGATTTTTTAATTCACTTTTTATTGTATGTGTATGAGTGTACGGCCTGCATGTGTATAAGTGTACCTATGTCGTGGAGTGCCTGCAAAGGATAGAAGGGGCATCGAGTCCCCTGAAACTGGAGTTATGGACAGTTATTAGCCACCATGTGGGTGCTGGGATTTGAAC